TTGTGACACTTTTTTTGGGTGATATGTAGTGAAGACTTTGGATGTCAATGAAAATGTGATGAAAAAACTTTTGGCAAAACTTTTGTTTCGCTTTTTGTGACAGTTTTTTGTTGCGTTAAATAAGCTGTGGTTTAATGAATGCTATTTCAAAACATAGTGTAGTATTTCTACTGTTAATGCTATTTAAACATTAATTTATGTGTAATGTTTATTTATGTTATTTGTTAGGTTTTAAATGACAATTAAAATGTGTATTAATAAACACCAAACATAAGGTCTATTTATTTTAATTACCGGTATATCTAGGTTTTACATTATTTTCATGCTATGTTTAAATCAATGATAATTAGTATTACAAATAAAATTAATTACTTATAAATGAGAGTAAAATTAAATTAAAATGATTTTAAAAATAATGTTCTCAAAGTGTCAATTAAATTAAGATTAAAGTATAACTCATTTAAAACAATCAAAAAAATAATTGTAAAAGTTTTATAACAACTATTAATAGCAAATGATTTAATTAAATTAAACGTTAACTTAAATGCAAACAAATTAAATGATTAATTAAATTAAAGCAATTATAAATCACACAATAATTAATTGAATTATAGATTAATAATGAGTTTAAATCTACAGTAATATTGTGCGCTAAAGTGGGAGTTGACTGTAATTTAATACTGTATACCCTATATAGAAAAGCATTGTAAAAAATACAGAAAATACAGTCAGACCTCTGTATAAAATACTGATTACTTGTAAAGTACACGGTTTTCGTAAAACTTAATGACCAGTTGTGGGCAACACTTGTTGGACACCCGGGAAGGCATGACTGACACCTCCGAGGAGTTTCGCCACTCAATAAAGTGCCACAACTCTAGGTCTGAGTCCCGATTCACACCAATCACTCGCTCAGGGATCAGATCTGTCGGCCATTCACTTCTCGCCACATATGCCGGCGTTTCTTCGGAAGCGATGGCACCGGTAGTGGCCGTCGAGGTAGAGGCCAACGTCGACGCCGATGTATCCAATGCTACGCCACTTTCTTCAGCACCGGTATTCACGCCATCGCCAGTCGATTGCGGGTCAGAAGTGTCTGATTGTGTGATACCATTGCCATCGATGTCGGCACCACCGGTGTTGTCATCGCCGGTGAGGCCATCAGCCAATTGAAGAGTCGATAACTCGTGACTGATGTCCGAGTCGTTGATGAAATCGCTGTCCACTTCCGTGGCGTCCGAGTCGTGTGTTTCTTGAGTGTCCTCTTGAAGGATGTCTTGAGAGATGTGTTGAGTGGCTTCTTGAGTGTCGTGGCTGTGATTGGCCTCAAAAGCGCGGATCAAGTGGTGACAACCGGGCAGTAGATTATTGATCGGTTCCCACGTGTTTACCGCATCACTAAATCCCTGCCATTTGATGAGATATAGAGGGCATCCGCGGACCACACGTTTGTCCAGAAGTCGCTCCACAAGATATTCCTGGACATCACCGCCGATGTAGGCGTCCCTCGACTCTAATGTCGACTTCTTTGCCAATTTGGGCGACTTTTTGGACATGATTTTGGTGATGATTGTAAGACACGTGTTGGTGGTGTGCTTAAGACAATGAAAATGAGATCAAAAAAAACTTTTTGCAAAACTTTTTGTGTTTCAGTTTTACAGTTAGTGACAGTTTTTTGGTGCGAAAAAAAGTTTACATTTATTACACGCTATGCTATTCATAGGGGAATGCAATATGTTTTTGTAATTAATGTTATTTGCAGTCATTTTTGATAGTAATTTATGGTATGTTTAAAGCTGTTATAAATTAATTATTTTTATGTTTTAATTAATTAATTATTTAGTGAATTATAGCGACTGTTGAGTGTATTATGAGATGTGAATTGGCGCTCAAATTGTTATGTAAAGCGCTATCTATTTACTGTTACTGTATGTGTATATACAGTAAATAGTAATTAAAAAGTTAATTTAGTTTATAAAATTCAATTAATACTGAATTTATAAATATAATGAGTTTTAATAGATATAGAAATTGAGTTGAAATGACAATATTTTTCATACAATCAGTAATTCTTGAAATACAGTAAATAAATGAGTGATTACTTGATAACTAATTAATAAAACATTAAAACTATAAACAATTTATAACTTTTATAATTTCATAAGTAAAACATTAATTTCATTAATAATGATGATAATCATATAAAACAAATTAAGGAGGGGGAGGGGTGTTTAAAAAAGGGATACAGTATTTAATTTAAACTTCACTTGAAATTTATTAATGAAATAATAATTATTTAAATATTAATTTAGACTATGTTTAATAAATTTATAAATTAATTATTATAAGTTTTAAACTAAATTTATAGTTAATTATAGTAATTATCGTGAATTAAAATGAAGTTAATTAGCGATCAACTATTTTTTAAATAACTAATTAGTACAGAATTACTATAATAAATTTATGTGAACATATAGTTAATTTAAAAAGTTAATTCTTATGATTTAAATAAGTTTTAAATAAATTTCTAAACATATAATTTAACAGAAATAGTTTTATTAGCAAAAGTAGCAAAACGTTTCATACAATCAATGATCAGTTAAATATTGTGATTAATTATACCATCACTTGATTCATACATTTGGAAAAATACATTCAATATTATAGTTACAAGAATTTACAAGAAATTGTATTAATGCAATATTTATAATTAGTTTCATAATTAAAGCCGTAATTAAATCGCCAAAAAATACAAATTCAAATGTCGTTCAAAATTATAATCAATGACTAAATCGGTTACAAAAATATTAATTACAAAGTTATCAAAACTTTAATAATAAACAAATTGTGAATTAGAAAAGCGATTAATTAGTCAATGAATGAAAGCAAACAGTATTACTTGAAAGTCAAGGCGGAATATTTGACCCTGGTCACGCTAACAGTAAGCTTTCGGCCGACCTGTTGAAGGGAACCCTTACATACCTGTCCCCAACAAATGCTGGAATACATATAAACCAGAAAATATTTGCCACAAAATATGGGAACAAAAACGAATAAAAAGTTTTATGATATGATTTTACTCGGATATTACAGTAATTGTAACATTTTTGTAGTTAATATTTTGTGACGAGTCGTGTTGTTGTCGAGAGGCTCCTTTTGCTGGGTCTCGAGTGACCATTCAAGTGACCATTCAAGGTGTCCATTGTTTCAGATGTGGACCGCATGAAGCGGTGAGCACTCTAAGGCGATCGACCCGTACAGAGCGCTATTAGGCGCCTTCACACTTGCGAGGGTCGGAGCCTTTAGGCCACGACAACCGATGAGTGCATCTCACTTTAGGCGCCTACCGATGATGAGGGAGTGAAAGCCGGCTAGTATAATAAGTAGTCTACTATAAACTTTGATTTACAATTAGTTTGTTTAAAATTAAACTTTTGAAATTTGCTTAAAAAGATAGTTAATTGACCTCTGTCATAAATAATAGTATTTGAGACACATTTGAGATTAGTAACAGTACGTTGTGATGCATTCATAAATTACTTTAATGTGCTTTCTTTGGATGATTTCTTACAGTTTATTCTCAAAATAAATACTTTTAGTTAGAAATGACACTAAAATAAAAGAAATACGAAAAATGTTAGTTTTGTTGGAAAACATAAGAAAAATGTTTTGAATATATTTTGGTTTTGGAGT